TATTTGCTCAATGATTACTCAATGATTGTGGAACATAAAATTGTTGATAATGCATCTGTGGTGTTGATACGAATTGTTCAAATTTTAAGTCAGAATGGAGACATAAACACTGAAACATTTACACATCCTCATTACAGGTCTGTTTCTAAAAAGAGTTTTTAAACTATTGAGATCAATATAAAGGACGACATAGGTCGACCTATCTCACTTGAACACGGGGGAGTCATCATAAACTTCATTTGTCTGTGGCAACATGAGAGTTCCATACTGTCACAAGCCATCCATTAATGACGTGTATTACGATTATAAAGTATGAAGTGGTTTACCTTATTACGCTGGAAGTCAATGGCAATAGGGTCACGGATTGGGAGACATTCTGAGTAACTTGTTTCATTCAGTTATACCATTTCTGAAAAAAAGGAAAAGAAGGCGTTCAATTTGTTTGTTTTGTAATTAAGCACAAAGCTACACAATGGGCCATCTGTGCTCCGCCCACCACGGGTATTGAAACTCGGTTTCTAGCGTTGTAAGTCCGCAGACATGCCGCTGTGCCACGGGGGGGGGGGGTAAAAAGGTGTTCAGTCAGTCATAAATGCACCATTAGATGTCATACAAAGAAAGAAATTCTTCTGTTGGTGCTGGGAAATGACAAGCAATGGAAAGGGCTCAGAACCTGGTTTGAGATGTTAAAGAGATTGTTCTACTAATAAAAAGAAGAAATAGAAAGATCCTATGTTCAGAATAGCTAAAACCAACAGATGAAGAACATTGATTTCAGACATTTTTGACAAGTACTCTTGACTTTCATAACACATGAAATTCTTGTCAGTGTACAAACTCTGAGTTAGAATTATTTTCAATTCTGCATATGCAGACTGTGATTGAGGAAGACCAGTGGACCGAATATAATCCTCTATCTTCAGTGACTGACAGAGGACCAATCTAATTTTATATATTGGGTTCAGGAGATGAATATTTAGATCTGGCACAATCATATCTTCAATATAAGCAATTGGTACCAATATAAAAAAGGATGAAGATAACTCTACTCCTGTTAGTAAAAGAGTAGTCCAAGAGTTGGTCTTTCACTGCTAGATTAGGAATGGCTAGTACAGATAGCCCTCGTGTAGCTTTGTGCAAAATTCAACACAAACCAAACCAAACTCTATTCCTGTCAATCTGTTTCATCATTCTCTATTTTATCAAGTGGATGTACACCTGAATGATAAGCTAATTTCTTCATCTCACAACCTTTACACATATATGACATACATAGAAACTTTACTCGGTTATAATGGAGAAACTAAGAGAAGCCATTTCATATCATCTATGTGGATAAAAGACATGGAGGGTAGTTTTGATGATGTCGACATTGATGATGGTGAGAACAACATTATAAAAGATCGACACATAGATACAAGTGGTACTCAAACAGTTGAAATGACAGCTGTCTACATTCGAACATCTGTTTACAAAACTAGTTCTTGCTCAATGGTGTAAGTTTAAATCTCCGGCTTGGGATTCAAAATTGTACTATGACATGTTTCTATCTATGCTATAAAAGTCAAGATCAGGTGGTCAATCGTTCTATTGGATGCTAAAGCATTTCAGAAAGGAATGACTAAATATCCTTTAAAATATGTTGTGTGTAACTCATTTTCCATTCCTCAGGGAAACTTACAAGCATCTATTGATAATGCGTTTTTAGATCAAGTACCTACACGTCTTGTTATAGGATATATTGATAACGATACATTTAACGGATCTTCGAAGAAAAACCCATATAATTTCAAACATTACAGTATGAATTTCATAGCAATCAATGTAGATGGAAAAAAGATTCCTGCTTTACCTTTACAGACTGATTTTGATGCTGAACTGTATGCATGAAGCTATGAAACATTGTTTAATGGAACAGAAAAACAGTTTCAAGATCAATGAATTGATATAGGATATGATGAATACTCGGAAGGATATACACACTTTGCCTTTGATATGAAACCCAATCTATCTGTTGGAGATTCATACTTTAAGTAGGTGAAACAGGGGAGTTTACGAATTGAAATACGTTTTGGTAGTACCTCACCCAACACTATAAATGTTCTTGCCTATGCAGAATTCCAGTCAATTTTAGAAATTGGTCAGTCTAAAAACATCGTAACTGACATCTAGTAATCTATGAACATTATAGAAATTTATTTAATACTTTCACAAGAATTGTACATATGAAAGAAGTTTAGAAGTGTGTTTGCCAGTGATCAGCTTCCTAACCATGCAGAAAACGAACAGTATATCATTAATTTAGATCTGAGTCAAAAACCTTGTAGGCATTGGGTCTCTATTTACTTTACAAGACGGCTGAAGGTTGCAAAAAATGAGTTTTTATGAACATGATAATGCACAGCTGCATTTGGACTTATTTGAAAGGAAAATATCCCCTTTTTCCTAATATCCCTGCTCTATAATTGTAAAGTGGTGTAAACTTTGTCAACTTTTAGTTAAAGTTACCAACCCTAAACTCCAGTGAATATTTTTGGTTAAAAGAATGGTTCACTTTTTTTTTCGATTTGTTTGTTTTTGAATTTCGCGCAAAGCTACACGAGGGCTATCTGCGCTAGCC